GCCCATGCAGTTCCTGGGCCATCCCCAGAGGCTGGAGGCGCTATACCGTGGCCACGCAGTTCCTGGGCCAACCCCGGACACCAGAGAAGCCGCTGCCTCAGCCCCAGTGCCGCCTCCCCCCACCACTGCTGGGCGCATTGAAAGGGGGAAGACTCCAGAAGCAGGCGGGCTCCCTGCTGTATGCAGGAGGAGGTGGGGTTGTGTTCCCGCAGCATGCCGCTCAGAATCAGCTTGTGTGCCACTTATGGCGCACATGCTGTAGATTGCCCATCACTTTTTTAGTCTTATTTAGCTACGGCACTTTTATGGCCCTCTATTACTGCAGAAGCTGTTTTCCTGGGAATATTTTAATATATTTGTTGTCACAACACTCCCAGCCTATTACTCCAATATTGCACATGGGGAACTGGGGCACAGGGAAAATAAGGCTCAGATCCACAGAGGTATTTAGGTTCCTAACGCCCAATGCAATTTCTCAAGAGCTACTTGAATGAGTTTTCTATTTTTGCAAGCCTTAAAGGTTTTCATTTAAACCAGGGTTGGGAACCTCAGGCCTGGGGCTGGATGTGGCCCCCAGCTTGCCTGGATCTGGCCCCTGAGGCTCAGCACTGGGGAGCCTGTGCTGGTGCTCCAGCCCCCCAGACATCCACCCGCAGTGCTGGAGCAAAGAAAATATACTAACCTGGGTTCCCCTAGCCTCTGGTGTGCAAGGGGAATGTGGGGAGTGTCTTTCTCCTCAGTCAAGGGCTTCTCACTTTGCTTCTCACTTGAGTGCAGCCCCCAACTAATTTTTCTGTGGGTCAGTGGCTCCACCTCCACCCACAAAAGGTTCCCCACCCCTGATTTAAGGCACTATGTTTTTGGATACTGACTTGAATTAAACTGAACATCTGAATCTTTGGTGGTTCATCTATCACTGATTAATTCAACCAGATATAGAGAGCAAATTAAATAGAAGTTAGCATGCTGACTGGCCTCTCATTTGTTACTGCAATATTAATAAACTTGATAGAGTGGAACTAATCCATCTGTTCACAATTTGTTTCCTCCCATGAGCTATAATTTCACTTTTTTATTAACGCATTCTTTGACTAATTTTATTAGCATTCCTTTCATAGTACCATTTTAATCACTTTTCATCAAGCTCTAGTGATGTATAAAAAGTAGAACTAGATAGACTAAAAAGAGACAGATGAAAGGACTTACTGAGCAATATGCATTAGTTTAAATAGAACCAGATTAAATAGTCCCGGAAAGCCTAAAAAGATTTCAAGAGAGTTCAAAATAGCCTGCTTCACAAGATGTTTGAGTCTGTTGTTTCTAAAATTTAAAGAGTTAAATGAAGTAGGGCAGCAATGTGAATGTTGTGAAGAGAGGGCTGCATGCTACCTAAAGGAGATCTGATCAGCACCAGTCAGCCAATGACTGCATGGTTTGTAAGGAGGAAGAGCAAACACTGGGCAAGATAGTACTGGAAGTTCAAGAGTCAAGTCGAAGTCATGAAAAGCCTCTTCTGCTCCATTTTGATGAACAAAGGTTTATCTCTTCCACCATTCTGGACAAGCTTGGGTTTGTGGTGGTATAAAGAGATGTGATTACTATCCATATTCATGATATTTAAGAGAAGAAATCAGTTGCCCATGAGCTTAGTTATTTATTTCTCATTATTTCATGATAAGCTCTGATACACTGCTCCTTTATTTGTTCAGTAGGACTGGTAAGGAACACTGTCAGTGTTTCTTGGCTCTCACCATAAGAGAGAGGCTATTGCCTTGGATATTTTCTGTAAAGATAAAAGTGAAGTTTTCTGATACTGGTTAGATGAAAAATCAATTCTAATTATGTGTTGAAATACATATTTCAGGGGAGCTTTATTTTGATTTCAGTCCAGGCGTGCAAAGCTCTTTTTTCTTCTGCCTTTTAAAAATGAGTATTCACAGGCATAAACACAAAGGGGAAAATATCATTTAAGTTTGCTTAGCTGCCTCTCATCTTTGAAGTGAGTGATAGTTTGTAAATATACTTAAGATCACAAGACGTTTCATCTTAGGGCATGGCGAGAGGGGTGTCATGGCACTGCAGTACCTATAGGGAACTTGACAAATCCACATGCTGTTAATAAAGCTCTTAATGTACCATACATGGAGCTACAGTAAATGTTAGTTCCTGACCTCTGGCTGCCTCAGCTCCATTTCTATATAGCAATATTAAACATGTCTTTGATCATAAAAGATTAGCCTGCTCTGAGCTGGGAATTTTGCTATTAAACAAAAATAGTGACCTCCAAGTTTTGTATTCTGAATAGTTTAAAGATTTTTAATCGTATATGAAAGGTGGTGTACTATTGAAGACCGCATGCCTTTTAACAAATGAAACCATCCAGGTGAATATTAGCAACCAGACAAAATTTGCTCTTGATGGTATCTCCCAATGAATGCAGTTGAAAAATCAAAGAATATGGTTTTTGTTTAAAAACCTACATTGTGCACAAGTCTAAACAAGAAAAACCTTGTTAAGTTATCTTATGGCAGTGTCTTGAGAGCAAAGAGCAGGCTATTCAGGAATTTAGGCCTTCCTTGTGAAGCCTTGTACAAATTGTTGTGCTGCATGGTAGAAACTTTCTGATGTTAATGTTAGTTTAAGTAATACTGTCAAATATCTGTGCAGTCTGTCCAGACCCTGAGACTCCAAGAGGACATCAAGTGTTGACACTTGAAAAACTCAGTGTCATGCATTTGGTTATATCAGCCTTCTTTAACTGTGAAATGCAAAACAGGGAATAAGTTGGTAATGTAAAGAAACCCCAGACATACATCTGTCTCCCGCTACAGTTAGCCCTGTGCATTTAGATGATCCAAACTCTAAAGTCAATGATAGTCTTTCTACTGACTGGAAGGGGCTTTGAATCGGGCCTTATATGAAAGAGCACTTTGCTTTTGTGTTTTAGATATATCTGCTAAACTACCCTAAAAATCAAGGAACATTAGTATTTAATAGTTCAAGGGTTACTGCATAGCTCCATTCAAGTCAGTGGCAAAAATCCTGTTGACTTAAATGCAGCTAGGATTTCAGACCAATGCTCTAAACACCTAACTGATTGTCACTCATTCATTATTCTAATTAGAAGGTGGAGGCAAGTATAGTATATTAAAAACATTGTTCTAAATATTACTGTGCATTTTAGAAGCAGTTGTGAATATTTTAAATACACTGTCAGCAGATGTATTAATTTTAATATCATTTAAGCAAAATTAAAAAGAATCAAACACAAATCAATATAATTCCATGAATAGGTGAACTATAAATTCACTACCTTCTTCTAAACCTGCCATTTTGTTCTTCTTTCAGTATGACAAACCTTTTTATATAATGCTCATTCTTTATATGGTTTATTTTGTCTATTTAAATTGTTTGCCACTGTATATTATGTATATAATTATTTAAAAGTAATACTCTAATGCTATGTAAAATTAAAAATCAAATTAGAGAATTGAAATTGCAATAGAATAATATTTAACTTAACCAGTGTATTTAAATATGTGACTTAATATATGTTGCAGTCAGATTTTTGTATTTTTCATGTAATAGAAACAAAATAATTTTTTTATCTCTGTCTCATGCCATATTTTCATTTTCACAGTTATAATACCAAAAACATTTAAATGTATCATGGAAGCGTGTGTCACATTGTCATAGTTACATTTAAGCTAAGCACTTAAAGCAGGAATTAATCCACCTTTTTATACATGAAGAAAATCATAATATAGTAATCTATCACAAAAAGCACAGTGCAGATTATACCAGTTATACCATAGCACAGACGGTTGTTTATTATATATGCAAGAACCATACATTATTTAAAATGCAATGGCTCAAGCCTGCTAAGTCTTAGAAGTGCTAATAATTGTTGTGCACCTGAATAGTCCCACTGAAGGCATTGGAAGTTGGCGATGCCTCACAGAATCAGACCCCTAAAGCAATTTTCAGACAGACTCATTTCCTTGAAGCCAATGAAATTCATTCACCCACAAACTTTAAAACTTCTAATGTTAACATGATTGCGATGCCAAATTGTTACTGCCAGATTTCTAAAGTGCCAAATATTAATTAAATTCCATTATACAGATTCTGAAGTCCATAACATTTAGTAGAAAGGATCAAATTGCAGGAAACCAGGCTATTCCATAAAATGCGTTTACAGTGTACACCCTTCCATCAGTGTAATTTAATATTTCAGTATTCTCTGTGGATTGAATAATTTATCTCTATTTCTAGATACAAAGACATCGTATTTGTATTAATTGTAGATCTAAGTTCACACATGCACATTTACAGTAAATATGAAAAGAAAAATGCTATGTATAAGAAAAAGATTTCAATTATAAGCATTATTTGACATAGAGTATTATTTATATGTATCATTCAGTACAGCTATTAGTATAGCTATGGATAGATATTGGGTCTTTCTTTTGTCTGTAGTATGCATAACACACACTGTTGCAGCAAAATATATTTCATTACATCTATCTCCCACACCAGCTAATAATCTTTCCAAGCTAACCACTCTGGCAGCTCAATCATTTGTTACTCTCCAAGTTCCTTTTTTCTCTTCCTCTCTTTTTTCCCTTGCACATGAGATTGAGGATGTACATCTATTTCTTCAAGCTATTTGAGCACATATCAAGTAAACATTTTGTGTGAGTGTAGGTTTTCCATATGAAATTAATGTGGGCAACAAGTACAAATTACATGGCTATTAAAATTTAAAGTATATTTATTTTATACAAAAAAGAGGCACAGGGAACTGCTTAGTGTACTCACTAGTAAGTACATTTGAAGATGTATTGAATGTAAAAGGACAAATAGATTTCAGAGTCAGCCCCAGTAATTTTTTTCTTCCATTAATTGTCCTTGAAAATAGTTGTTTTTTTTATACTATACGTATTGTCTAATGCTTTGGATAAGGTACGGTGATTTTAATTAATTTCTGTTTAATTCAGGACTGTGGTTCACTAATTCAGCCGGAGGAATCTTGTGGATTACAGCCTCTCTCCCCTGCGTACCTTTCAGCAATTTCACAGACACAGTTTAAAACTTGTAAAGCTGGAGACACAAAAGGTTAGTTCTTGATATATTCTCTCTCTATACCACAAATACCTGCACCACACTAAAATAAAGCACAAAAATCTCTGTCCTTTTTCTGTGCAGACACAAGCAAAACTGATTTTGTTTCTATACAGACTGTTTTACATACATATCTTACTGATATAATTAAGACAGGCAGTTTACTTTTATGAGACACTCTTTTTCTGAGTTTCCGCAAAATTGATAGTTTGCCTATAGTTACTATTTGAAGGGCTCACTGACAAATTTTCATCAGAAACATACATTTTAAATGGAATTACTTTGTGATGTTTTTTCAAGTTTTTGAAGAAAAACCCCAAATTGGGGTGGGTTGAAAAAAAATTGGCATTTTTACCAGCTGTAGTTTCATGTTTCCTATTCGTGTTTGGAATACACAAAAAGAATAACCATTTTTTAAACAAACAAATGAACCAAAATATCCCTCTTTTATATAAACTAATACAGAGATTTAAACATCACTATGGATAAGCCAAAGAGCACAATTTAAATATATTTTCTAATAAGTAAGATATATACAGCAGATAGATATTAAGCAGATTAAGATCTATACGACATTTCTTCCGTTACTAATAAAAGGAACATATTTTTGAATGGGAAATATATTGGACCCCATTCCGCAAACATTTAAGCTTATATATTTTTACAAATCAAAATATTAATATGCATAAAATTAGGCACATGTTGAAGTCTTTGCAGGATAAGTCCCTAATTATGTCTGTATCTTCCTTTATTAGACAAATGTGTTAAAATCACATTAACAAGAGAAACATAGGGTATGTCTATACTACAGTGTCTACACTGTGCCAGCTGTCTTGGCCTTGCAGAGATTGAGCTAAGGGGCTGTTTAATTGCAATGGAGACATTCTGGCTTGGGCTGCAGCCTGAGATCTGGGTCTCTTCTGGCCTCTCAAAGTCTTAGAGTCCAGGTTGCTCTGAATGCTGCATATGGCTATATGAAATAAACTACATTACACTCTTCTGGTGGAACTTATCTGCCTTGCAAATGTTCCAAATTGAACCAACATTCAATATATGAAGTTGTGTCAAGGGGCACAGCTAACAGAAATGGGAGAATTATTTCTTGAGAAAGTGAAGATAGCTAATAGCACCTAAATGACAACGTCCAGTGCAAGTGTGGAATGTGCAGTCCTTAGTATTTATACATTATGGTGCAGCTTTCCTGTGGTTTACAAATGTTAACTGTAAGCCAAACAGCTTGTCAATTCGTTCTCAGTTTGTAACTACTGACAGACCCTGGCAGTGAGAGCTGTACGGGTGCCCTGAAGAGCCAGCCTGAAGTCCTAAGACACAGCTTCCCTTGCCTCCCCTTTGATTTTTAAATATATTAAACACTCAAAGAAACATAAAAATCCTAGCTCTTCCAAACCCCTGAAAAGTCAGGAGGATAGGGAGTCAGAGACCTGGGGCAACATCCTAGCCACATTAACACTGATGGTAAAACTTGTAAGTTTTTCATTAACTGCAGTAAGTCCAGGATTTCACCCCCGGTTTCTATTCTCTTGGGCTATGTCTAGACTGCAAGCCTCTTTCGAAAGAGAGCGTCTAGACTGCACGGAGAAATTTCGAAAAAGCGGCTTGCTTTTTCGAAAGAAAGCATCCAGTGAGTCTGGATGCTCTCTTTTGAAGAAGCCCTATTTACATTGAAGAACGCCTTCTTTCGAAAGAGGAACTTTCGAAAGAAGGCGTTCTTCATCGTGAAATGAGGTTTACTGCCATCGAAAGAAAAGCCGCGTTCTTTCGAATTAATTTCGAAAGAACGCGGCTTGAGTCTGGACGCAGGGGAAGTTTTTTCGAAAAAAGGCTACTTTTTTCGAAAAAACCCCTGAGTCTGGACACAGCCTTGGTCTGAGCTTAGGAAATGTCCTCTAGGATCTGAACAGGAGAGTTAAGGTGGCTCAGCACCACTCAGGAGGCACTTGGCATCTTGCAGGACCCTTTTCATCAGTAAATGCAGAGTATTAATGTCAAACCAAGGTAGTTGCCTGCAGTCTGTCTCAGTTTGGAACTACAGGATGGACAAATGATAGAGTGATCATCAGAAAAATCAACATACATAATTAAGGGTTTGATCCAATGCCTTCTGAAGCAACTGGTAAATTTCCCATTGACTTCGCTGGGCTGTGAACCAGGCTGAAACATAAAATATAGTTAATGTTCAGTATGATTTTAGTACTACTTATTATTTTTAAAAGCTGACCTTGTGCTTGGCACTTTGCAAAACATAAAAGAGACACAGCGGCTGTCCAAGGGAGTTTAAAAACAAGGGAACCAAATCTGCAAAGCTTCTACATATGAATCGAGTCACTGTAATCTATGGAAAGTCTGCATGGATTTGTGTGAACAAAGGTAAAATGGGGACCTAACAAATCATAGCTTAATAAATAATATTACAGCAGTGCTTCATAATATCTGTTCAAAGGTCAACTGTTCAGTGTCCTCTAAAACTGGCATGTGTTAACTGGGTATCTTTGAAATTTGGTGTGCCTTCGGAGGAGGGCTCAGGATGGAGCTATTGACAAAAAAATTGAGTCATTTGAGCTGAGGGTTGCAAAGATAGAAGGCCTGAAAAATGCCATTTAAAAATGGTTTTAGTTGGTTTGGGGGAGGGGTGGACCTAGAAATCAAACTTAATATGATGTGGGTCAATCTGTCTGATTTTACCCAATGTGTAGTATTGGTTTCCCACTAAATCTTTTGGTGACCCAAAATGAGAACAGAATTTAATATGATGTTTATTTTTACACTGCACATGCACCAATACAGCAAACTTTAAACTTGATATTTGTAAGTGCTCTACAATACAAATGGGTGACGAGATCACTTTGAAATTTGGTGCACTTCATGGGGATGTAGAGTCACATTAAGGACCCAAGTTTCTAGTTGTACCATGGAGGGACTCCTGGATTACAGCCATGGTAAAGAAACTGGTTCCCTTCTGCTGCCCTGTACTGTTAAACTGAAAGGTAGTAATCATGCAGATTGATGGCTGGAAGCTCACCCTTCAATGAACAGAGAACTCAGAACAAAAGGAGCTTTGGACTGAGTGACTGGAGGTTGTTGCAATCTGTGAATCATGGGTGACAATTTGGGGGTGGAGAAGATAATTGAAGTCTTTGGGGGAAAATAGACATGTGAACACCTTCTAGGAGGGGAAGAGAGGTATAGCAGGGAAGAAGGAGGAGAGAAATAAGGAGAGAAGGATTTGGGGCTGCAGCAAGGGTAGGAGGACTGGCCAGTTGGTGATAGATGTGGATGGATCATAGGGGAGGAGAGAGAGGTTGGGGGCTCAGGAGTGGAAGACCCCAGCACTGTGAATGCACCCAACTTCTGCACTCCACGGCTCTGCCAGTGCATCCCAACTCCCTGCACCTCATCTCCTGCATACCACAGCTCTGCCAATGTACCCCAATTCGTGATCCCCTGAACTTCACAGCTCAGTCTGTGCACCCCACCTCACTGCACTCCTCAGCTCTGCCAATGCACCTCAACACTGTGGAAACTATTAATAGAGTTGGAAGAACATTTAATAGAAAAGCGGAGGTTTCCTGTCCGGTTGGAAAACGTGTACTGTATGGCATTGAACCATTTCAAATTCTGATTCCTCAGTGTTTTTCAAACTTGGGTACATCTATTGAACATCCTCTGACCCCTGTTCAATAGATGCACCCAAGTCCGAGAAACACTGGGGTATCAGAGCTTGGAATAGTTTGATGCCTTACAATACATTTTCCTAGATGCTTGGCACTAAAAGATTCAGAAGGTTCCTGAACTCCAGTAAGAATGCCACACAAATGCAGTTGGAGAACTCTCCCATAGCCTGAGGATGTGTCTACATGCGTGTGGTTACTAGCTCATGTAGAAGTACCTGTCCTGGTGTGAGTAGAGCCAGTGCGCTGAAAATAGTAGTGTAGCACAGACAACAGCAGCAGCAAACTACCCTTGTACACACCTGGGAATCTAATGGGTTTGTACTCTGTCAGCTAGCCTGAGCTGCTGCCCATGCTACCTTGTCTACACTGCTATTTTTAGTTCACTAGACTGACTGTGGGTACATCTACGTAAACTGGGAATCACATCTTCAAGCTCATATGCTGACATACCCTTACGCACAGGCTACCATCTCAACTTGCACTTTAATTAGAGCATTAGCATCCTTTCATATTCCACCTCACTGCTGGCAGTGTCCTTTGTAATAACAGTCTCATACCTGGCCACTGACATAGCGTACACAATCTTCAGAGAAATGAAGATTCCCTTTCTTCACTTGCCTGGGAGTGGGAGACACATATCACAATCTGTCACGCACCTCCAAGTATTCTGCTGATCTCACAAACACACCCTACCACGCACAGCCACATTCTGTGTGGCTATACTGACACCACACATATTCACTCTGCCAAGAGAGCATGAGAGAATCAGTACTTACACTACTGTCATACCCCAGCTTGCTGCCGTAACACTCTTTGTACTAAAACCTCTGTACCCAGCTAATTTATCCAATGTTTACAATTTGGCTTGGAAATACTCTACTGCCTACGAGATGCTGAAGGTACACTTGCAGCTCTTCCCTTTGCATATGAACATCAGAAGGTGCAGAACATAGATCTCCCCACATCGCAATCACAGTTCTGTCATACACGCCACCTTAACCCAGATGTGTCCTCGTATCACAAACACACCTTTACCAAACAAGCCCAGTTACTGCCTCCACCATTTAATGAGGGTACACCTAACACTTAACTGCACCTGGAGTGTATGCAAATAATCCCTCGGGCTACTGTCACTTCCAAAGGGAAATCAACTTTCAGCAACCTTTATTTTATATATTTAATTTTTTGTCCTTTAATAGTATTAGATGAAATCCTGTGAGTGAGCGTGATCAAGTTGTAAAAAGAAGTGAAGAGATTGTACATTTCAGCAACTTTAGCATTGACATTGTATGGGGGAGGGGC